GATGCCAAGTCCTCGGCCTCCAGCAGTCCCAAGCGTGGGAAGGACGGCTTCAGCTGAACTTTTGCTGCTGGGTTTGGCGTCGGTGTGAAGTCAAATCAAGAGTTCAAGTCTAATTGTGTGATCCTTTCTGCTTGCACCATGCGGGGAATTAAAGCATGCTGCAGGACATTTGAACTCGCCGTGAAACGCGCCAGCTTGTCCACGTCTGGCCTGCCTCGCCAGGTGTCTCCAATGTCGCCAGGTGGAAAGGCCCATCAGATGCCACATGTCTCGCCAAGCACTTGTTCACCGTCCGGCACTCTCTTCACGCATATTTCCATTCTGTTATGTGCTTCCGAGTTAAGTAAATACGTTTTGTATGTCATGTATAGTTGTAGATGCACATCACTTAAGCGCTTCTAACGTGTTACTCTCTCTGTCTTTGGCTCTCCGTTTTTATGTGTGTATACCTAAACATGCACCCCAAACAGTATGGTAAGAGTATGCTAGGCTTTCTTTCAGAGAAAAGAGGACAATGTGTGTGGAGTGCTTGCGGGCGGAGCCGCAGCGGTTCAGTCTCTCAGATGCCGGCAGCGCCATCTTATTCGTTTTGCGGCTCTTCGGTGTTGGCCGCTGTATAGTTTCACACCGTGCTTTGCTGAGTGGTCGCGTTCTACCCACCATGATGTTTCGTTGTGTTTTCGGTTTTCAGCTGGTGTTGACGGGGTCTTCTGTGATCTTTCGCTGTTTCTACGGCGGCATATAGTCGCATACAGGAACAGAGGAGCCATTCCTCAGACAGTTTATAGGAACCAAAGGCGAGTCAGGAGCAAAGACATGCAGACATGCCTTGTCCAGGTGTCTGTCGACCTGAATTCGCCAGACCGCCTGGTGAAATTTGGCATTTCGTCACCAAAGGCCTTTGCAATCTGTTGAGGGCTGCGGTTGAGTTTTTTCGGCTCACAGGGTGAGGTGCACAAGACTAGTTTTGATTATTACTGATATAGCCAAGACACATAGTCAGACGCACCGTCCCGGGTTGATTGCAGGCCCTCACGTAGACAGGCGTACCAGTCCTGAATGCGTACAGTAAATCCTCCCCCGTTTGGAAAAACCAGCGTTGTTGTTGACCTGACATCATGCCTGTACATACCAGCAACATGTTGGACAGACGAAACTGCTTTGCCCGGCTAGCCTGGGTAGCGAATTGCCATTGCAGCTCAGACGTTTGGAAGGTTGTGACGCCCGCCAATTCACCATCGTTTGCTCCGGACGCTGTCCCAGCTGTGCTCTCAGATGATTGACACGGGCTGCCACTTACTTGCAGGACGGTTATATGACGGTTGTAGCATACAAAAGGACCGGAGGCCGTTGTAGGGATGAGGGTGCCCTTGATTGTGCGTCCTGCCGTCGCCCTGTGGTCGACTGGACAGGTTTACATATTTATTTGTGTAACCTGCTAACTTTCTCATGACTCCTCCCAATGTTCTCCCTGTGATCATATCTGCGCATGTTCTTACGAAGGCGTGTTGGAGGCGTCTGTGCTTCTGCCTCATACAATCGGCTCAGCCGTGAAGAATGACACTTCCAGGACGGTTTTCTGCTGTACCGTACAGTGCAAACTCGCGAATCTAGTGTCAGATATCTTGTAAGGTTTTGTTCGGCACCGCAGCACTCCAGAAAGGAATAGCTGACTTAGACGTGTTGTTGTCGCAACATGCTTTGGCTATACCAACATACAGCCAGACAAGATGCTGTTCCAGACTGCATTGAATGAATTAAGATGCATTACATCTTCATTACTTTGTACCGGGCTGTGTGTCATTATACGTAAGTGTGCTTTCCCGCATGTAGTGATCTTGAACATCCAAGTGGGACTTGAGGCGGGGACACTGACACCCTCTCCGGTGCTGGCGCCTTCGACCGGAGAGGTCAAGCATTCAGTATATTAATTTTGCTACATGGGATGTTAGTATAGCAATTGTACTCGTCATTGTTGTTTAAGAAAGTAACTTCGCATTTTGAGTGTCTTGCTGAATGTTCATAGTGCTGGTATGAATCGGAGGAAACACAGAAGTCCCATGGCCTGACCCCCGGAGCAATAGAAGAATCAAAGCACACAGTACATGTTAAGCGTTTTAGATGGAGAACTGCCTATATCTTATAATGTAGACCTTATGTAAGGAATGCCGGATATCCCATATATGCCAGTACACATCACAACTAGGACGGCATTTTCAGATCGCCACTGGCATGACAGCACCACGGATAACATGATAGCTTGCACTAGTAGCGACACTGCCTTATGCAGCTTTCACAAAAACCTTGCATTTAGTGCTTCCTTTGTTCTTGTTTGCTTTTGAAGCTTTGCATGTTTTTCGTGTTCTTGCTTGACCGCGCCGAATTCATCTTGTCTGCGCGGCTGAATTTTGCACGAGCCCACCCGAAAGGGGAAGAGAGTGGCGAACTTGTTGTCAGCGCTGTTCTGCCCAATCCCCACCCGAGGCCCTTCCAGCCTGACACACCATGCCCTCCACAGATCGTGAAATTCCTGCACTGCAGAATCGCGGAACACCTCAAAACCCTGTGCCCAGTGGAGGTTCTCTCTGTGGCGCCGACTCTTTCGCCTTCGCCTGTTGTAACCGTGTTGCCCACTCCGGTCCCACAGGTGGGATGTTGTTCCTGACAATCACAGCTGTATTTGTCGTTGACAAGCTTACCATGGGGCGGTAACATACCATTGACGCATCATGCCTCAAGCATTTGTGTCGAGATTTGTGGCTTCCAGTGCTGATTTTCTGTGGACCTTTGTGAGACCGTGAAGGCAACCGTGGGCGGCGGCTCTCCCAGCTGCCTGAAGTCATCTTTGCCTCCAGAGGAGCTGCGAGAGGTGGGTGCACCTCACCTTCGCTTTTTTAACCAGATGCAGTTGCAAACAATGAAAAGAGACCCGGGATCTCGTAAGGATTCGGAGCAGCTCCGAGAATTCATTCTGCGTGGTCACTCATGCAAGCAGAGTCACGGAGATCACACGTTTGGATTCTTGCAGAAGCCAGCCATTGCATTGAAAGATGTACGTTAAAGCAGTCGTACTGGCACAGGCGGGTGTCGTCGATCGGCAAGATGAGGCGGACGCATGATGGTGGCACAGCTTCGGGGCGGTCTCGTAAGCCCGAAAAGCTTGAACTTTATCCGACGGCGGCTGCAGATCCACGAACACTCGCATTTATGTACCCTCGCCGCTAAGAAGCTACGCAACTCCTATAAAGTTTATCAAAACCGAAACCCTGAGCCCGAGCCCTCAAAAGCTTCACTAAAGCAGTTCTGGACAAAAACCGACCTGCGAGCGGCTCTAGGCCTCCTTGCGTGAAGCCTTGGACGGCCGAATGGCGCAGATGCTCCGAGACTCGACCTCAGGGCTCTTCGTGCTCTGGGTACCATGTTTATGCAATCAGACAGAATGGTATAAAATTGGAGCGCAGATGTCAGAACAGAGCTTAGCAAAACAGAACAGAACGGACTATGATTTGACACGGTCTTATGAGACAGCGTGGCAGAATTACACAAAATGATGTGAAGCTTGGAAAAGCCTGGTAGCCAGATGCGCGCCAGAGCCGTATTGCCAACCCACAATTGAGCCAGAGCTCGCAGTTGGCATCGCATTACATTAGCTATGGTATGTAATGTACCATAACACAACATGTTAGATCAGTCTGATCATATTATTATACCCTACCACAATGTGCTGTGATCAAGCAGTGTCCCCAGCTGAATTGCTGCTGCTGTGCACGACCGTGCAAGTCCTTTTTCGCCACGACTAGTACCCACAAGAATTGCTGACAAAACCTGTCGTACTGTTCAGCTTGTTCTTCTGCCCTGCATTTCAGGATGTGGCCAAGAGGTCTGCTTTTGGGTCACTGTACATCGATGCCGATGATGCTTTTGCCTGTAGTATCGGCTTCGCAACTTGTACTCTGCCAGTAGTGGCTGACACCTGCGGCTTTCCCGAATTCTTGTCGTAATGGTACTAGGCCTGGATCAACAAGAGGCGCCCCAAACAGACCTGTGAGGGATTTACGGACGAGGCCCCGGCAAAAGCCAAAGCAGCTAGAACGCGTCAGGCGCAGTCCAGACAAGTCACCATGCAAAAGGTTTAGAGTTTGGGATTCAGGGTTTAGGAGTGCTGAATGGGAAGATCCAGATACCAGCAGAGCAGGGCTGTGCTGAAGAGGTGTTGCGTGTGTATCGGCTGAAGAACTTAGATAAACGAGCGATGCACGACCATGAGATGCTGCCGCAGGAACTTCGCAGAAGCCAGGATCTCTCTCAGCTTGAATTGCGAGTGCAGCGGCAGCGGGCTTGGCAATATCAGCTTGTCCTCACAAGAGCTGGACTGCGCAGAGAGGCTTCTGCACTTCAAGTGCCCGAATCTGGAAGATATGCCGCGACGGACTGGAGTCAAAGCGCAGCAGGCGCCTTCGGACGGAAGAGCACATTCTGCTTCGACTGGCCTGGCAGGCGCTTCTTCTTTGAGCTCGAACTGTCAGTCCTACTGATACTGCTGCAACTAAAACTACGACGACGGCTGCTGACTACTGCTACTGCTACTGCTACTGCCACTGCTGCTGCTACTACTACTACTACTACTACTACTACTACTACTACTACTACTACGACCACGAGTACTATTACCACGTCTACTACTTGTGCGTTTGCTTGTCCGGCGCTGCTAGCTGGTATATAATAGTCGGTACGAGTAGTAGCTTTGCTACGCAGACAAAAAGACAACGACAACATTTCCGTTCAAGAGTTGAGCTTGTAATGAGAGGTTCCATGCAAGTGCCCTGATTCAGGCTTGGGAAGACTTCGATCGCAATGGCATTGTCAGGGCCATGGCCGGCTGCAGACAAGCAAGCTGGAACCAGATAGCAGTCTAGAGTCGCGACGGAGCAGCGTGTTTTCGTTCTACCAGAGCTTTTGGTCTCAAGGCCGACCGAAGGACTTGTTTATCAGTTTGCGCCATGGGCTGCGGCGCAAGCACCGCCGTGCATCCAACACGGCCATGCACCCGGGGACCTCAGAGTATCCGCATGAGCAGCAAGAAGCGGGTGGAGGCAGTGCTTGACCTCGATGCGATGACTGTCCTTCCCAACAGCCCGACACAGAGTCCCGAGGAGAAGCTGGACCTGGAGGAGGCAGACGAGCAAATGTCTATTGAGGGGGTGGAGGACGGAGCTCGACTTTGGTCATCGATGAACATTGAGGATGTCGAGGCCAACCGAAACCAGCCCTTTCCAACGCCGCCAGATCGACGGATGCATGATCGGCACCTCCGGCGGATCGAGGATCTAGGTCGACAAATGGCAGAAACTCCTCATGCATTTTCACTCGTTGTCTTGAACCGACGATGCCGGTTGATCGACCAAGTCAAGACTGGATAAGTGGCCACACACGATACAAGTCCAACTGTAACAACACACGAACACCATCATCGTCAGCGTCATCACCACCACCACCGCCGTCGTCCTCATCCTCATTTTCATCCTCATCATTATCATCTTCATCGCCAGCGTCACCATCACCGTCATCATCATCCTCGTCATATTCAGCCTCTTAGCGAATGTGAACCGCGTCTTGCAGACTCAAACACGAGGAACCCTTTGCCCCATCCTCGGCACCACACCAACAAGTATAAAAGGGCAGCAGCAACTAGAGCTGTGACGGTTAGCATAGTAAAACCAGCTCTAGTATCAGTGAGGCCGCATACTTGTTCGCCTGGTACTACCATTTGGCATGGTACTGTCTAGGGCTGGCCCGAAGGCACGGACATATCAAACGGTCTGCTGACCTTCTTGCCCGCTTGAAACCCGGACAGTTTTTCTTCCTTTGTGGTGAAGCTTGAATGGGGTGGCTGTTCTGCTGAATAGTCCGGCTTTCCTGAGGCCTAGACAGGCATCCACGCTCTTCCGCAATCCAAATGTTTATGTGATTTTGGCATTCCACACTAGCCGAAGCACAACCTCATCGCTATCAGGGAGGCTGACACAAGTTATTTCCTAGCTCTTGCGATGATGAGTGTTATTACTTTTTCTGAGTCGTGCTAGTCTCCACCTGTTGCACAACTTGACGACTCTTCTTGTTTTGAGTCTGCTTACAACTCTTATGGTTCTGAACATGCAGGCTTTCAGCACTCAGATTGCTGCTCTACCAATTTCTGTGACCCGTTCCAATGCTGGAGTCTGTTTGATGATGATTTTGAGACATCCCAGGCTCTGCAGTCATTCTGAAAATGTTCATGACCATTGTCATTGAGATGTCTAGGGCCTTCCTATTGCCACTTGCCGTAGCTGGTTTCGTCGCTGCCATGAGTTTTATTGCCGATAGCTGCTTCATTGTGATTTTCTCTTGCTTAGATTCGTGGCCGAGTGAGCCTGTCATCCCACACATGTTTTCCAGGTCATGACGGGTCGGAACAGCCCACAACCCAATCAAGCTAAGGAGGTCAACCCAAAGTGACAGGGCCAAGCGCCGCAAAAAACTTGCAGGTGCTGCCCGCAAGCAGCACGGTTTAGGGTTCAGGGAACTTCCAGAACCTAAACCCAAGAGCTGACGGGCCGTCGGCGTGTGAATTGTAGGCTGCCGTCCATCTGAGCAAACCCGAAACTCTTTCCGACGCTTCGAGCTTCGCAGCCGTCGCTCTTCCAGGGATTCAGCATCGCGCCGCATGGGCAACTTCAGGTTAGAAAAGATGTCAGTTACAGATACAAACACGAGTTGAGGAACAGCCACAACATGCGGCAGTATAATAGTCTTAAGAAGCGCTTAAATCCTAGGAGCCTGCGACGGTGGGATTCTCTTGCACGGCAGCTGTGGGTCTCCACCTTGCAAGTGGACATCATGAACCCTTGCTGCTAATGTGCAAAGGGAGCCTTTTAAAATTGAGTTGTCACAGGGTTTCTCAAACCCGGACAGCTGCAGACACGACTATGCTAATGACTATATTTCTTGCGGGAACACAGCGATGTCGCATGTAAGATGTCTCTGGTAATCCTTGGTTCACCCGGCTTGCTCCCGCACGAGCGTTTCATACCTTCACCGTGCCCAGTCGTCAAAGGAGTCCCAAAACCCGGACAGCTGAGCCGTTTGAGGCTGATCCTTCTGTGGCTCGACATTTTGTTCAAGACCCGCAAACGGGTCTCTGCAGCAAAATCAGATCACGGGGCCATGAGTCGCTCAAAGAACATGTAGCACATCGAAGGGGAGGCTTGTCAAATTAGAGCTTCGCACTGCATTGCACCATTAAATTTGCAAAGCCTTCACTCCATGGCCCCACAGAGGATCCAGCCCTTCATGTCCCGAGCATCATCGTCCCGACCTGGTGATGTTGAGTCGCAGGTTGGGAGGTCACAAGGGGCGTAGAAGCATGAAACGCACTTCGCAGAAGGAGCGAAACTGCAGCCTATTTTCTCAAAATTCGACGCCGCATACTGGGTCCCACAGTCCATCTTTTCGCGGGGGTCAGCTGGGCTTATGAATGCACCAGATGCCATGATGGCAATCCTGATGTTTGGACAGCGAGTCGGAGGTGTTGTCGAGGTTAATGGCTTTTGTTTTTCGCGAAGCTTTAACTATCGCTGAAAAGAGTCACAAGCTTGCATCACTACTCGCTTCAATGCTTGCGTTGACCGGTCTCCGGTACTAGTTGCAGGGTTGTGGTGTCACTCGGGTGCGCAGTGCAAAAATCGGATTGAGCTGGATTTGTCGCTTTTGCATTTGACAGCGTCGCCATGCTTGGCCAGAGGTCTGTCTAGGTGATAGGCAATACAATTAGTTTCATGTACAGTTCACGGTGTGTCCATCTACCCGTCTCCATATCTCTTTGTTTGCCTATCGCCTATCAATCGTTTCTGTCTGTCCCTCTATCCATCATCGACCTGGCTATCTAATCCAGTGCAATCTAGTCTAATTCATTCCAATCCAAGTTATTTCATTTAGATCTACCTCTGTCTGTCTCTCCTCAGCGCTCTCCATCTCTCTCTGTCTCTCCGTACCCATGTATCTTTGTGTGTCTCTCTCTCTCTCTCTTTATTTCTCTATCTCCGTTCTCTCTCTCTATCCATGCGTCTAGCTAGCTCGCTCTCGAACTGGCTATCTGACTATATCTATCTATCTTGCGTACTCTCTCTGTCTGCGAAAATATACATTATATAGTTACATATATGTATGGTTATATAATTATACCTATACAATATCCTCCACACAGACTGTGGTAGCTTCTATGGATCAGGCTATCTGGTGTTTTCTTGCATGGAATGTCGTAGAGCCATCCCGCGTCACCGGCTTGAGCCGGATTGGCTTCAGTTCCTTTGTGCAACAACCTGTATGGGGGGTGTAACACCTATAGGGTTCCTTTAAAAGGATCCTTAAAGGGGTCTATAAGGGATCTATAGTAGGGTCCTATGGTACAGGCGCCTCAATAATTTCCAATACTGTTGTGGGGGTTCCTTATTACAATAATAGTATAAGGGGCCCCGAAACCCTATTCAAATTTTAGGCCAGTAAATGAGTTTGTTTTTTACTGTCCCCGTAGCTCATGATGGCGGTTCTGCTTGTTTGAGCACTTTTGCATGGAGTCCTTGCTTGAGATGATAGCATGACCAAGTCAATCCCTGGCCAAGCCGATACACCAATGGTGCGAACATGAGCGTGAAAAGGCCTCGGATCTCTTTCAGTGCGTGCTATTTGCAGCAACAGGGGCATCTTGTTTGGGAGTAAGTGCACGCGCAGTAGGCCCTGAAACAAGCGAGCGCTCTCTTCCAGGCACGCGGTGCAGAACCCTGTGGATCCACCCGCCCGATGCAAGCAGAGGCATTTCGGACAGCGAGCGAGAGCAATTGCAGGAGAGTCGTCGTCATCGTGTAGAGTGCAGAGGGCGTGGCAGAATCAACTTTGAGTCTGGGATGCCCATCGGCTCCAAAATCACCATCGTAATCCTCATCATCCACACTACTCAGCTACTGTATTGTAAGGAGGAACGTCAGATTACGGGAGAGACGGGTCGCGCAGAGCTGCTTGACTGCTTGATGTTCGGTCCCGGTAACAAGCCGCTGAGTAGCACTGTCAGTCCTACCATTCTTGTTTCTATCATCCCTACAGCCCATCGGGAGGTTGCCTGTCAAGTCGACCTGGACACTGAGCAGGTTTCGGCTCCTGGTGTGGTCAGGGATATCTTTACAACGGTAAGTCCCATTTTGCCGGTCCCTTTTATGGATCGTACGGGTAAGCGTCCCCTACTTCTCCCACATTCCTCACGCCACGGTGGAAGACTGATAGAGCTAACCACATTTCTTACAGCTTGTAGAACATTTGTGGGATGCAATACGTTGTCGAGGTAGATGGCATGAGTTGAACCATACATCATTGCGAAGGGTGACAGTCTGACGCGGGGCATATGTGCGTTTGCCAGCATCGTCCTTCGCCGGGATGGCTTTGTTCTTTGAGAGCACATCGCGCTTTTGGACAACAACCTTGGTGGCGAATATTGGCTCAAGGCCCGACTGAGTCTGGTTGGGCTATGCCTGAGTGCCTAGACACTCGGGGGGAGGGTGAGTCATGTCCGCCGCCAGCTGAGATGCGTGCAAGTGTGCGTTCTGTTGCGTTTGATGTTTTGCAGGCCTTCTGAGGAGTTGCTTGAAACCAGCCGGCTGTTGCACTTGCAGTCACCCGCATGCTGAGGCAATTAGGGGCATAGCAGCAACTACTGTAATTACCTCAACAGATATGACACGCGGTCCAAAGCATGACTTCGTGGATCTAATGAAGTTTGACATTCGTTCGGTCATTGCCGAAGCTCGCAAAAGAATTTGCCCAGGTCAGCAGCAGCATGAGCCGCGTCCTTGGTCCGACGGTGCGACCATGCGCCGACAAATGCCTTCACACGCTTCGTTGAACAAGCGAGTGAGGGCAAAGCGCTAATTACCTAACATGTATTGAAATTACATGCTTGTGGCTATACAGTGCATTGTCTACCATCAATAAGCTGCGGCTATTCATTCGTCCCGCTACTCATTCTTCTTGGCATGACATTATCCTCGTTGTTGCAGCTATAAGTGGATAGGCATCGAGCCTCCATGCCTCGTCCCAAGGCGAGATCGAGAGTCCGATGTCTGCCACCTCCTCTATCTGTTCAAGCACGAGCCACTGGGCAGTTAGAGTTCATGGTTTTGGGGCTCCCGGCCCAACGTGTAGACTGACTCGCAGTTGGTGCAGGGCTTTGACATATCTGAGCAGATGTTGTCTGCACATGGCCATGCTGATATGTAGCCTGGCTGTAAGAAGCAATAAAAATAATGAGTATACGAGTCTCGAGAAGAGAGAAGGGACTAGTTTCAAGCAATGGTCGGTTCACGGCCTGTCCAAGCATCGATGTTGCATGGAGGTT